TGACCACGCACCGCCTACTCCTAGTGTGTGCATGCAGGCAGGTTGCGGGAGTGGGTAATGGGTGGCTCGCTGTTAGTGGATCCGTAGGCGGATCCCTGTAAACTATTCTCTTTTTCTACCTCCATGTCCCCGGAGGCTAATTACGTTGCCTCCCTGTTTGTATCTTCCCTCCCGCACACGACGCGCTAGGTCGAGGGAGGGCGCAGACGACCAGCAGTACCTTTGCCCAGTGGGGCTGGGCACCACCTTTGGGGCTTTGTTGGGGCTTNGGGCGCAGACGACCAGCAGTACCTTTGCCCAGTGGGGCTGGGCACCACCTTTGGGGCTTTGTTGGGGCTTTCTCGGGCGCCCAGTCGGCGGCGCCCCGGCGCAGCGGGACGGGCGGTAGCAACTGCATTGGTGATCAATGACTCGCAATCAAGCGTTGATCAATGACTCGCAATCAAGCGTCCAGTCACCAGAAAGCAGCCTTTCTTTTCCCCTTTTAGCCCAGCGGCAGCGCGGGGAGCGGCGTCAGGCGCCACTTCGGCTAGCCACCAGCTGTGGCCCTGGTCGGGCCGACAGCGCAGCAGTTTCACCTTGTTAGTCCGGCCATTTCGCCTTTTACTCTCTCATACTTGGCGTTTCGGTTGCCGGCCAGCTTATTCAGGTGGTGCCGAGGCACCGTTGTGGCAGAGGGGCGGACGCCGCATCATGACTCGCCGTTTGAGTCAGATGTGGCGACCGAGACGCTGATTGCCCTCACCCTTCTCTTTCACTAGCTATCGTTACCTATTGGACCCCCCTTTTACCATTTTCCCCTCGTTTCATCGCCGGGACGGGCGCCGGTGAGGAGAACAGCAGCAGCTGCAGCAGTGCGAGGAGCTATCGCTCCAACAGCAGCCCACCAAGTTCAACATGACCATCTGCGCACGAGGACGTGCGCCTTTTGCTGATGGGGGGGCACACGTAGCATGAGTTAGCGCAGGGTTAGCTCAGGAGCCTTTCGACGGCTTTCGCATGCTGCGCGTAAGCGCTTGCAACCGTTCAACAAGTTCGTTCAGAGGCAAAGCATGCAGCAAAGGAAGCTTCCCTGAAGCTTCCTTACGTGCACGCGTGGGNTCCTCCCCGCAACACCCAGGCCCTGAGCTCAACGCCCAGGATGCCTAGGGACCGGGGAAGGAGGTCAGCTACTTTTGGGAAACTCTTGCTTTAAGTCTTTGCCTTCATTGCGGCTCGTCTCTGGTCAGATAAAGGCCAGAAAACAAGCGTTGCACTGAGGCCGTTGCCGATGTCCGCGCTGCTGCTTATTCGTGCCTTCCCTTGGCTGTTGTTAGCTCCTGCTCTCTCACACAGCGTGCGCTCGAAAAGATTGCTTACGCTGCAGCTGCAGCAGAGGCCGGTGCTGTGGTTGCAGCAGCTGCTGCTGCTGTAGCGGGACTGGCTTCCCCAACGCCTTCTGCACTTTTGCCGCTTCGGATATGTTCGACTGGAAAGGATTTTAACGACGGAGCATTAGAAAGGCGGAAATCACCACCCAATGGCTGCCCAATTAAGAAGAGAATCCAAGTGCTCTCCTGAGTTGCCGCGAGATAGGTTGTTGCTGTGGTGCTCCACAACTGGCTGGAGGGGAGAAAGGACCTATACACACCCGCTTAGGCTGAAGGATGGACACAGTTGACGCAAACGCTCAAAGTCAAGAAATGTTTCATGAGAGAAGAGCTAAATACGTCTCAGCTGCAGAGATGTGAAGGATTGAGCCGGGGTGGACGACTAGAGTTGCCGCCGGCTGCAGGCGGTGCTGGAGTGGGTGCACCTATAGGCATACAGTCGGGCCTAGGCGGACGCAGTTTCGGTTAAAGGCAAGCTCTAGGCGGGCAACGTTGAGGTAGCTGCAGCAAGCAAACGGTAGCCGTTTCGGTTCCTCGCCACTGCCGACCATACTGACACTGCTGCTGTTGCGGCTACCGCTGCTGCTGTTCTGCTTGTTGTGGTTGCTGTTGATATAGAAGCATCCGTTACACTGCATGCCGGGATACTGGCGTGGCCCGCTGTTATTGTTGACTCTGCTACTGCTATCGCCTCTGCTGTAGCAGTTGTTGACGGTTGGTGAACAGCCCGACGAACAACATGACTGTTGCTAGCAACTCCCTGGGACTTTGGGCTGATATATACATTTGAGCACTCGCTGAGATGGCCTGGAATATCACCGTCAGCTGTCGTGGGAGCGGAGGAAAGGCTGGCTCTCATGCTCCAATCTGTGGCGCCCAGCCCCGAACAGGGAAAAATATTCTCGGCAGCAGCGCCGACCTAGCCATATGTAAGAGAGAACACGTACACCATAGCCAAGAAATAGTTACCTTCAGATAGCACCTGCATAAAATACGAATGCATCCTGTATCGCCCCACCGGCTCCGGTGCAGAAAAATCACCCGACACCCAGAATTAAGCTGCGTCGGGCATGCCAACACTGGCATTACCCGCCGTAGAGGCGGAGAGAGCCTGAAAGCATTATTGGGGGTCGATTTGCGCAGTTGATCCTTGAAATCCTGCAGTAGCTGTCTATCCTTTAGCTATTGCTCGTTTACTTTGGCATCTGCAGGTTGCAATCCACGATCAAAATCACATCAATTTGTTCCTTTTCGCTACGATCTAGCCGCTATTTTTTCTGGAGAGTGCGCGAAAAGTCTGATGATTTTTCAAATCGTTGTAGATAACTAACATTGATAACATGGTGGCTCCTCCGAGTTGGCGGTAAGTCAAGGATGTAGGGCGCACTAACTCGAGAACGAATAATAAATGGTTCAAACCAGCTCACGGAGAACTTCTTCAGCTGCTCGCTTCCCTGCAAGTTTTCGAGGGGTGGCGAATTCACTATGACCAAGCTATCTGGGCTGAAAGTGACTGCAGCGCGCAGTTTTTTGTAGTTTCCTGCTTGCGTTCTTGTGATTTTTTCATGCATTCCTGCAATGCTACAAGCTGCATGTGGGGGTTTGCAAGCTCGGGCTTAGGTTCTGGCTTCTAACTGCCAGATCCAACGTCGAGTCAGGCAAAGGTATTTCGCTATAGACTGAGGATGCCGGAGGCCAACCGGTCGAAGAGCGCGCCGCTGTATTATGAACTCAATTTGCATAGGGAAGGAAACTAAGCCACGTTGACTAATCATGCTGTGTATAGAGTAGTCAGTCCTGCACCAGCATGAGGTTGGTGCGTTGAGCTTAACCGTGTGCCTCTGGCCGGTTCCAGGCGGTCATGTTGTGGTCTATCTCAAGTCACTTCATGAGATCGCGCGAGGAGGCGAAAACCAATTCCGGATTCTTATCAGTAACACCACTCCTATACAGTAGTGAATAACTGTTCCACTTACCCCGCTGTAACGGAACTTGAGCAGGGGATGAGACGGGCGTATCTGCTGACTCTCTGCACTGCCTGATATATTACTTGGTTGAGGGGCGCATCGCCAGCCGCCGACAGGCATGAGCAACTCGCTCCACAAGGGTACGGGCCCCACAATGACCCCCTAAAACATTATCGGGCATTCTGCGGAAAGCTTGGGTGAGAACTGAAGCTTGTCCGTATAATGTGGGGGCTCCGCGCTTCATCTCGCACCACAAGAGGTCGCCAACTACGGTGTAGTGCTCAACCCGTCGCCTGTTGTTGAACTTAGCGAGAACTGCAGTCGCACGAGTATCTAAAGTGTAAGAAGGAAGAATTCTGAAAAAAGTACGGGAATCATCACAAACGAAAGCAGTTTCAGAACGCGATATTTATCTTCGTCGTTCCATTAATTCATATACATCTTTATTTGCTCTTACTTGGTGCACGTACATTTCCTCTACCGCGACCCACCTTTTTATTTTGTTGAATACTTATTCTGTCTATATTGATGCATCTTCATCCTAATTATTCCGGTGCATTTTCACCTGTTCATCGTGTTTCACCTTTATTTTGCGAGAGGCTGAGCTGATGGAGGAACCTCGATCCAAACATGCGGAGACAGCTGTTGAAAGAGATCAGCCATCATTTTTTATATACAGAACGCCTTAATGGCTCACCAGTGCTACACCCCAGACCTCTCAGATGTGGATATGGCGTCCGCACCATCTGCTCCTGTCTTTCTTAGCCTTCAGGCGTTGCAAGTGTAAAAATTGTTCCTTAAGAAAATATTTACAGTAGGTTATAAAAGGCAGCTGGGGTCCGACTAACAAGAGAGCTAAAGTAGGAGTTTACAAAAAGATGTTTCTCTCCCTCGAGCCCCCTGTTGTTACGGAGAGGAGGCGGCCTCTCTCGATGCAGCACGCCTTGCTGCAAGTGTTGCAGCGAGAGGAGTGCAAGTGATACCCTACCTAGGCCCCTTCTCAACGCTGGCATTAACAGCGTGGATAATCTTTAAACACTTGTTTCGCAGGCAATAGCCGGCGTGGGCACAAGTGGAGTATATACAGCTAAAAAGAAATGCATGTAAGGCCGAGATACACGCAACTTACAAATAGATGAAAATGGAAATTCGATGAAAAGTACAAATGCAGGTAAAGTACAAATGCATGTAGAGTACCAATGCATGTAAAGCGAAAATACATACAATGTACAAATACATCTAAAACACGAATACATCCAGAGCAGAAATACATGTAATGCATCTAAAGCGGCGGATGCATATGAAGTAGAAAAAAACGAAGACTACAACAACGTGTAAAGCAGAACTAAACGGAAAGTATATGTAGCGCGGCGTGTAGCGCAGCATTAGAACTAGAAACAAATGTAGAGTATAAGTTGATGTAAAGGACAAGTAGACGAAACAACTTCAAACATAACGCGCTATAGAATCGACTATGGACGCGTGTTGGTTGCTGGGTCACTGTGCGCTGTTAGTGCACGCAAATAAGGGGATTAAGTGCGACGCCCGCATCTGGTTACTCTTATTACATACATTATAATATATATACACCTGTAATATAATCTATACGTAAGGAAGGAGACATAGCACGAAGCACTGCAGCAACAAAGTGAAGGGCTGTCTCCTAGGCCTTCAGTCCCGCTACTGCCAGAGGCCTCGGTCTGGTGATGGCCTTGTTGTTGTCGTTCATGCTGCTGCTACTACCGCTGCTGCGTTTGCTGTTGTAGCTGCTGCTGTTGTTGCCTCTGTTGGTGCAGCTGCTGATCGTTATGCCATTGCGGGTGGTGCTGCTGGTTGTCATGCTGCTGCTGCTGAGGGGCACAGGGACCTACACCTAGAAGAAAGGGGATAGAGAATCTGCTGCAGTACCCGCTTGCTGCAGATGCTGCAGCAGCAGCAGCAGCAACAGGCTGTGGGCCGTGGGGTGATGCGCGGGTTCTTCACAATGTGGGCTGCCGTTCCAAGTTGACTGTTCGGTCTTCTTTGGAGCCTGCCCGGCTTCTGCTGCTACAGTGCATGGAATGTAAATTCAGCGCGCATGCAGTGTAAATAAGGCTGCAGCGGAATGCCCACCACATTGCTTCCGGTGAGACGTAGCGCTGTCTTCACGGCTCCCTAATACGACTGAAGAAGTGCATCTGAAATCACCTTCGCTTCAAACTGGTAGGGGACTTGCTGCACTTCATACGAGTGCTGCAATGCCTGTGCAGCAGCAAATGTTGCTGCGCATAACACAACTAACGAAACGCAAACGAAAAAAATCGTCGCCTCTTTCTCCCGCTCCTGCAGCCGGCGCACCTGCATCACCTGCATATGCTGCAGCATATGTGGACGCGCATCCGGATGGAAGGCTGAACGAGCGAAGATGTGCATGGGCTCCTCCTACTATGCTGCTGGTGCTGCTCTTGCAGCAACCAGCGCTTCTCCATGACCTACTGAAGCAGAACCGAGCAGCTCTCCCTCGAGCAGCAAGCAGCAGCAAGCAGCAGGCGCTGAGAACCAATCGTTTCACTTCATGTGCCGCCATAAGCACCGTAAACAAACATGCATGAATGCACGCATCGTGTTGCTCTCCTGCACACTCTCTGGGCCTCCCGCGCTGCTGAGGCGCGCAGCAGATCAGATAGCGCCTCAACACCCCCTGTGATGGGCCCCACTCACTCCAGCATCAATTGCAAACCCTCCACAGCAAATCCCCACAATCCAAGCATCCTCGTTGCTGGTCCTGCTGCAGCTGCCGCTGCAACTGCTGTAGCTGTAGTATAGACTGCTGTTACGGTGGAAAAGGGCCCACGGGGTGTAGCGCCAAACGACAGCCGCCGACGGCCTGTGACAATTGGCGCAGCAGGCTGTCACTGTTGCGACTCCTGCTGGTGCTGCTGCTGCTCTCGATTGCTGCAGCTGCTCCGGCAGCTGGTCTATCTGTTTCTAAGAACCAGGCGACAAAAGCAAAGCCTCAACTGCCTCCACCGCAACTGGTTGAGGTGTACCTGCTTCAGCTGCCGGTCTCTCAAGGGACGCCGCTGCTTTGAGGGCAGCAACAAATGCAGCAGCAGCATCAGACAGCTGCAGAAGCTGCAGCACTGTGTTGCAGCTGCCGCAGCTGCAGCGCAGCATCCTCGTACGTAGCCCCCTGCGCCAGCCTCTGTCTTATTGCTGCTGCTGCATTCCCGCTGGAAAAGGAAGCTGCTGCTTATTCGGTGTGCTGCAGCTCCTCCTAGTCAAGCTCTGGTTTTCCTTTTGCTGCTTCAATGCAACACCTGCTGCTGCAACAGCTGCTGCTTAGCAGGTGCTACCCCTGTGGCTGCACCCAGCATCGCAGACGCAGACATAAATGAATGCCCTTTGGTCTCCTGATGCCACAGACGCTGCTGCTGCTGCGGCGGCGGCTCTTGCTCCTGCTGTTGTTGCACCGACTCCTGCTGCTGCTGTGGCTGGCCCTGCGCGTCCTGCTGCCGCTGCGCCCCCTGCTGCTGCTGCTGCGCTTATCGTGCGCTTGCTGCTGTTGGCCCTACTGCTGCCGCTGCTGCTCGTGCTGCTGCTGCTCCTGTCGCTGCTGCTGTTCATGGTGCTCCTGGTGCTTCTGCCGCCAGTGCTGCTCCTCCTGCTCCTGCACGTGCTGCTCCTAATCCTGCTCTATCTGCCCCTTCTGCTGATCCTACTACTCTGTTCGTTGCCCTTCCTGCCCTTCCTGCTGCTGCAGCTGCTCCGCCTGCGGCTGCTGCGCCTCCCCCTGCGGCTGCTGCCCCGCCTGCTGCTCTGGTCGTTGTCCTTCTTGCCCTTCCTGCTGCTGCGGCTCCTCCTCCTGCGGCTGCTGCTCCTCCTCCTGTGGCTGCTGCGCTTCCGCCCGCGGCTGCTGCACCTCCACCTGCGGCTGCTGCGCCTCCCCCTGCGGCTGCTGCCCCGCCTGCTGCTCTGGTCGTTGTCCTTCGTGCCCTTCCTCCTGCTGCGGCTCCTCCTGCTGTGGCTGCTGCTCCTCCTGCGGTGGCTGCTGCGCTTCCGCCTGCGGCTGCTGAGCCTCCCCCTGCGGCTGCTGCGCGTCCGCCTGCTGCTCCGGTCGTTGTCCTTCCTGCCCTTCCTCCTGCTGCGGCTCGTCCTCCTGCTGCGGCTCCTCCTGCGGCTGCTGCTCCTCCTGCTGTGGCTGCTGCGCCTCCGCCTGCAGCTGCTGCACCACCGCCTGCGCCTGCTGCACCTCCACCTGCGGCTGCTGCGCGTCCGCCTGCTGCTCCGGTCGTTGTCCTTCCTGCCCTGCCTGCTCCTGCGGCTCCTGCTCCTGCTGCGGCTCCTCCTCCTGCGGCTGATGCGCCTCCTCTGGAGCCTGCTGCGCCTCCTCCTGCGGCTGCTGCTGCTCCTCCTGTTGCTCCTCCTCCTCCTCTTGCTGCTCCCCCTCCTCCTGCGGCCGCTGCTCCTCCTCCTCCACTTGCTGCTCCCCTTCCTCCTGCTGCGGCTGCTGCAGCTGTCCCTCGTCCTCTTCCTGAGTATCCTGCTCTTCTTCCCTTCCCTCCTCTTCCTCCTCATCCTCCTCTTCCTCTTGTAACGGCTGCCGCTGCTGCTGTTGCTGCTTCATACTTTCTCTGTTGTCATCTTCATCTGGATCTTCTTTAATAAGGCTCAGAATGGGCACCTTGGCTCCGCTTCTCCCCCGCACTGCCCTTTGTTTGGCTGGGCCACTGCTTGTTCCACCAACTGGACCGCCTCCACCCTGCTGGCCCGCACCAGTACCGCTGTGTCTCGGCCGCTGCTGAAGCAGCAGCTGCTGCTGCTGCTGTTGCGACAGTGGTCGCTGCGGCTGCGGTGGCTGCTGGGGATGTAGCTGCGGCTGCAGTCGCAGCGGCTGCGGTTGCGGCGGCGGCGGTCGCAGCGGCTGCGGTTGCTGCAGCGGCGGTCGCTGCGGCTGCGGTCGCTGCGGCTGCGGTCGCTGCGGCTGTTGTTGTTGCTGCTGCTGTTGCGGCGGCCGTTGTTGCTGCGGCTGTTGTGGCCTTGGCAGCCCCATCACCAGTGCCACAACCTCCTGCCGACTCAGCTTATGCCGCTGGCCACCAACACCCGAGCGCTGCACCTGCTCTCGCTGCTGCTGCAGCGCCGCCCTCTGTTGCTGCTGCCGCGCCGCCTCCTGTTGCTGCTGCAGCGCCGCCCTCTGTTGCTGCTGCAAAGCCGCCCTCCGTTGCTGCTGCTGCGCCGCCTCCTGTTGCTGCTGCAGCGCCGCCCTCTGTTGCTGCTGCTGCGCCGCTTCCTGTTGCTGCTGCTGCGCCGCCTCCTGTTGCTGCTGCAGCGCCGCCCTCTGTTGCTGCTGCTGCGCCGCCTCCTCTTGCTGCTGCTGCGCCGCTTCCTGTTGCTGCTGCGGCGCCGCCCTCTGTCGATGCTTCTGCACCGCCTGCTCTAATTCCTGCTGCTGCGCCTCCTCCATCCGCCGCTGCAGTGTCTGTAAGAGCTCCGCATGCCGCTGCATCTCTTGCAATGCAGCCATCTGGTGCCCTAGCCGCAGCCGCTCCGGAATGTCAACGGGGCCTATCTCTTCCACTTGCGGCAATGTCCCTCCCTGCGATCCTTCTGTACCTGTGTCCCATTCATCTTTTTCGCCTTTCTTGGATTTCTTGTGGCGACTCTTGCTGCGACTCCTGCTACCATGCTTGCCGCTGCTCCTGCTGCGGCCCCTTCTGGGCGCTGGGGCTTGGACGTAGCTTGAGCTGAAGGCCTCAAGAACCACCTCTGCTGTTGCAACGGATGCACCAACTGAAGCAGATCTTGTGAAGGGCAAACCATGCTTAATTCGCTGACCTAAAGACTCTCTGCTCTCTTTCTCTTGCACTGTAGCTGACGCTACTCTCCGGAGCATCTCCTGTAGCACCGACATTTCCTCCTCCCACAGCTTCAGCCTCGCGCGGTCAGATTGTATATCTTCTCCCATCTGCTGCATTTCACGTGTGAGGGAAACCCCCCTGGGTAGGTGTCGCGCCATGGAATCCAGCTTACCTATGTCGTCCTCCATGCTGGCTCTAAACCCGAGTACAAGTTCATATTTTGCGCGTGCTGTATCAACAAGGGCTTTTAGATTCTTCCGCGCAGTGCTTATCTTCTCTTCATCCTTTTCTTGCATGCGAGTACCAGGAGGAAGAGTTAATCTATCCAGGTGTGTTACAATAGCAGATTCAGTCTCTTCTTCTAACCCCCACGTGGAACCAGGTATATTGGAGAAGCACAATTCAAGCTCTTCTTCTTCAGGTTCTTCTTCTTTTTGAGGTTCTCCTCCTTCTGCTCCTGCTTCTTCACCTGTAGGCTCAGACGACTGTTCAGACCCTGCTGCCGCCAGCGAGCGACGGGAGCTGCCTGCTGCCCGTGAGTGCCGCAGGATGTGGCTGCAGCGCAGCATTAGATAAAATATAGCAGCTACTGCAGCAATAGCAACTGCACCGATAGCAGTAGTAGCTGCACGCCGCTGCAGCCGCCGCAGCAACCCATTGCGCACGCGGAGATCAGAGCAACCCCAAGTACCGCAATCTTCCCCGTGCTCACGAGAAACGATTTCTGCTACTGCTCCTGTCGCTGCTGCTCCTTCGTCATGCCCTTCCGTTACGCTAGGAGACGCAGCACGAGCAGGAGGACGAGCAGGAGCAGTAGCTCTTTGTGGTGTTTGTGGTGGTGATGCTGCCGCCGGGGTAGTAGCTGCGAGCAGCGCCAGTGCTGCGAGGCAAAGACGTCTCATCCCCGTCATATAAGTACAAATATCATATCCCCGAGGGTATGACTGCAAATAAATAAGCTAAGATGAAAATACACGGCAAATTGCAGCGGCCACTGGACCGCTGTGCCTCAGCCGTGGGGAGCAAACAGACGACGGCGTCGTCTATCCTCTCCTCTCTTGGGCCTAATTCATTTTGCATCAATTCAAAGAGAGAGATGCAAATGAGAGCAAAAGGATATATGCAGCAGCAGCAACAAGAACAACAGCTGTTTCTGCTGCCTCTGCTCCGCTGCTGCCGTCGCTCCTGCCGCTACCGACGCGGGGCGGTGCATTAAATGAGCAATATGCAGCTTATTTTCACTGATATAGATTTAAATTCATTGAGAGTTTAACAAATACATTGAAACAAATAGTGTGCGTAAACACAAAACCCTAAACCGGAGAAGCCTCTACAGAACGCTCAGAGGCGCCTCGTCCAGCCCTCTGTGCGTCTCCAGTCGATTCCGCCTCCTCCTAGGGTTTAGGGTTCAGTGTTTCGGGGAGATGCGTCTCTACACAAGGGGTGTATGCTGCATTTTTAGGGTTTAGCGTTTATATTTAGGGTTTATGAGATAAGGTTTAGAGCCTAGGATTTAGGGTTTGCGTATCGCTCATAAGGAGCATATCGACAGCCTCCCCCGAGAACCCGATTTCCTCCCGTTCCATTACGTTATCTCCTCCGCTGCAACTTCTTGCTGCAGCGGCACGTTTCGCTGCTAGAGCTGCAACAGGAGGCAGCAGCAAACGAAACACAGGGGATTCTAGTGCTGCAGCGAGCCGCTCGTTGTCCCCCGCCCTTGCGGCGTCCACAGCAGCAGCACCCGCAGCAAACTCTGGGCTCCCCAGGAAGCTGCTACGCAATGCCTGCACCAGCAGCAGCAGCAGCAGCAGTAGCAGCAGCAGTAGCAGCACCAGAAGCCCCTTCCTGTAGAGTTTGTTCAGTGCCTGACGTCCGGTCGCCGTCACAGCGAACCGACAGAAAGGGACAGAGACGAATACAAACAAAATAACAAAATAACAAGCAGAACAACAAAACAAAAACTAACAAAACAAAAAAAACAAAACAAAACAACACAGTGAATACATATAAAACGATAAAACAAAGACAAAAGATGTGACAGAACATAGACAAACAAAACAACAAAACAAATAAAAACGAAACAGAAAGACAGACACAAACAAAACAACAAAACACGGATACAAAACCTCACGAAGCGGACGTATATGTTGCCCCAAGGCAGACACAAACAAAACCCAAAACCGGAAAAAGACAAAACCCCAAAACAGAGGCAAACAAAATCCTAAAACAGAGTCAAAGGAAACACCAAAACAGAGGCAAACAAAACCCTATACTAGAGACAAACAAAACCCTACACTAGAGACAAACAAAACCCTAAGACAGACGACAACAAAGCTCCGAAACAGAGGCAAACAAAACCCTAAAACAGAGACAAACAAAACCCCAAGATAGGTAACGGCGAAACCCCGAAACAGAGGCAAACAAAACAATAAAACAGAAACAAACAAAACCCTAAACAGAGGCAAGAAAAAGGGGAACGAAAAGTAGCAAAACCCCAGAACAAAAATATACCAAGCCATGATACAGAGACGAGCAACACTGTAACAACAAAAGCAGAAGACACAAACAAACGGATAGAAGCTCGGGGGGGACAAACAAACAAACAAACAACACCCCTTGAGAGAGACAGAGAGAACCGAGGAGACAGTCTCTGTCTCTGCGCTGGCTACAGCTCCTCCAAACTTTAGGGTTTAGGGTTTAAATTCAATGATATACGGCGTATGATTTAGGGTTTAGGGTTTAGGGTTTATGATATAGGGTGTAGGGTTTGTATTACTTCTTGTCCTGATAGTGTTCTATCTGCCATTGTTATTTGCCCCATCTCAAGGAAGAGAAAGACAGCAGTTAAGATGCATTTATGCAGAGCTTGATATCTTTGTAGGGTGTACAGACACTCGAATCTTCTAAAGATGATAGATAAGGCTTTTTGGTGTTGTTTGTTCTCAACAAGGCAACATATGTAGTGTCTATACACCTCATCAGTTTGCTGCAGCTCGTGTCGTGCAGCTAGAAGACGAAGAGCCTCTTCATAAGCATCAGCACATAACGCTATACCCTTTGGATTTTTATCTCTCCCCCGTCTTGCAGCAACCTGCAGCAGCAGAGATACAGCTGATGTTGTGTCTCCTGCTGCTTTATACAAATATACAGCCTCATCATAACACTTCATTGCTTCCTCATATGCTGCAGCTGCAGCGCCACCAGCGCTGCCGTTGCTGCTGCTGCTGCTGCTGCCGCGCCGAGCTGCTTTCTTCTCCTTCATCAGCAGATCTCCCAGCTGCAGCACAGCAGAGACGCAGCAGCAAGACAGCAGCAACATAGCAAAAGCAGCATGATAGCAGCAGCAACAGAGACAGTCGCCTGTCTCTGTTGCTGCTGCCGTCTCTGTTGTCTCCTACTCTGCTCGGTGTGTCTCCAGTCTCGTCTTTGATGCCGCACGCGGAGACACCAGCAGAAACAAAAGTAAATGCAAACAAACACAAAAACAAAGTAAACCAGATGAGATACAAACAACGCCTGCAGCCTATCAGGCAGATATACTCCTGTCTAGGTTTCTGTCTCCCCCTCTGTCTCTGTCTTTGTTGCTATTGCTTTTGATGTTTTTGTTGTAGGGTACGCGTTCATCTCTCTGTATCTGTTTGTGCTTCTGTCCCTGTCTCCCTCTTTCGTGCATCTGTTTTTATATCTGCTTCTCCCTGTCTCTCTTTTTGTTTCTGTCTCTGTGCGTTGCTGTCTTTGTCTTTTGTTGCTGACTCGTATTCTATCGCCGTCTCGTCTCTGTCTCCTTTGTCTTTTTCTGTCTCTGTCTCTGCTTCTGTCTCCGTCTCTCTACTTCTGTCTCCATCTGTTTGTTTGTTTTTTTGTATTTCTTTCTATTTTTTTATTGTTTGTAGCTGCAGTCAGCCCTCGGCCAGTGAGTTTATATCTGAGGTGTCTGTACAGCTCAACTACGGCGTCTTTGGTTTTTAAATATGCATTTTTCTCCTGTTTCCTCTCTGTCTATTTCTCTCTCTTTCTGCCTCCTTCCCTCACTGCCTTTCTGTCTACTTTGTGTCCCCCTTGTGTCTCTTTCTGTCTCCTTTCTGTATCTTTTTTGTGTTCTTTTTGTCTCCTTTCTATATCCCTTATGTATCGTTCTGTCTCCTTCCTATTAGTCCCTCTTTTTTGTGTCTCCTTTATCTCTCGTTTCTATCTCGTTTCTCTCTGTCCCCTTTTCTGTCTCGTTCTGTCTTCTTCGTGTTTTTCTCTCTTTCTATCTCCTTCCCTCCCCTCCTTTCTGTCTCATTTCTATCCTTTTCCTGTCTCCTATCCTCGTCCAGTTTCTGTCTCCTTTCTGTCTCCTTTCTGTCTCCTCTACCATTCTCATTTCTGCCTCCTTTCATATTCTCCTTTCTGTCTGTTCTCCTCCTCTTTCTCTCTCATCTATCTCACCCTTTGCATGGCTTTGCCTGCTTGTTTGTGTCTCCTTAGATTGCGTTCAGCTTGTGCGTACAGCCTGAGGGCCTTCGCTTCCATGCTGCAGCTACCAGCAGCATGAAAAGCTTCTGCTGCTAATGCTGCTTCTCTAGAAGCAGCAGCCCAATCAGGAGACAGAGCAAAAAACCAAAACGACCGAGACAAAGAGGCTATAGCCCGCTCCAAATGCAACTCACCCACCTGCATTGCACACGCTTTTTCTACTGTTGCTGCTGCTGCTGCTGCTGCTCTTGCTGCTGCTGCTGCTGCTGCTCTTGATGCTGTTGCTGTTCATGCTGCTGCTGTCGCTGCTGCTTTTGATGCTGCTGCTGCTGCTGCCGTCGTTGATGCTGCCGTTGGTGGTACTGCTGGTGCTGCTAACGCTGGTGCTCCTGTTGCTGTTGCTGCTGATGCTGCTGGCGCTGGGTGCTGCTGTTGCTGCTGCTGGTGTTGGTGTATTCCTGATGCAGCTGCTGCCTGTCTTGCTGTTGATGCTGCTGCTGCCTATGCTGGTGTTAACGCTGCTGCTGCTGCTGCTGGTGATTCTCAACAGTAGGCCTGTGGTTCTGCCCCTATCGCTGCCGCTGTTGCTGCCGCTACCATCAGTTGTCCTTCATACAATTACTGTTGCTGCTGCAGCTGCAGCTGCTGCAGCAGCAGCTGCTGCAGCTGCTGCTCGCTTCACTTGGAATAGTTGCTGCTCTCCTTGTTGATCCTCCTACTTCTGCAGCTGCTATGGCAATCGCTGCAGCAGCCGTTGCTGGTGAGGCTGCAGCAGCTGCTGCTGAAGGTGATGGCGTTGCAGCTGCTGCTGCTGTTGGTGCTGCTACTGCTCTTGCTGCTGCTGCTGCTGCGTTTTGCCCTCTACAGACTGGGTTTTTCCTTTGGTCTGTCTATTGGTGCAGCAGGAGCAGCACGCCCCGCCGCTGCAGCAGGCGTTACCATGTCCCTTTTGCTGCAGTAGCTGTTGCTCTGCTTCTGCTGCTGCAGCAGCCGGGAACAGCGATAATGTGTTCAAGGCAGTGAAACAATGGTCTAACCAGTGGTGTGCAGCAAGAGCAGGAGCAGCAGCGGCAGCAGCGGGTTCGGTGGCAGAGCAGCCGTTGATTTTTCTGCTGCTGTTTCTGCTGCAGCAAAATCTGCTGCTGCTGCGGGAACGTTGCTGGGGGCCCTTCGGGGCCCCAACGGCCTCCTGCTGGTGGGCAGCAGCAACAGAGTAACAGCAGCAGCAGCAAAAGGGTTGAAGCCTTTATTTTAGTATTATTCTAAGCAAACAAATAACAACATGCTATATTAAAATATTAAATAAAATATTGCTGCTGACTGCAGCCGTTGCTGGGGAAGAAATGCTTCGTTTCATGGGGCCGTACTGTCCCCAGAACCAGTCAATGCTGGTGACTGCTGCTGCAGCAGCAGCAGCAGCAGCAGCAGCAGCAACAGCAGCAGCAGCTGAAAGGCCCTTCTTTATCTAAAATAGTGCCAATTAATGCCTGCAGGACTTGTTTGTTGACTCATTTTCCCCTTCTTCTCCCTCTACACCGCCACCGAGTGTAAGCCCATGCCTTAAGGTCCCTTCGATGCTCCGCTAGCTGGTGCTGCTGCTGCTGCTGCTGCTCTTGTTGCTGCTGCTGCTGCTGCTGGGGAAAAAGAGCTGCTTTCTACCTGCACTGGGGCAGCCGAAAGAGCTGAAGGTCCCCAGGAGTCCCTTAGAGCCGCCGCTGGCCGCCGCGTGTAGAGACACACCAGCCGTACTGCCACCGTTGGGGTGTACGTACACTTGAGGGCTCCACTGTCACCCCAAAGTCGTTTCTAAGGGTTCTTCTTGAAGGTCTGGAACCCCCTGCATCCCAGCAGACGCAGCCGCATCAGCTCTTTGCCTCACCCGCTGTTGCTGCTTCTGCTGCTGCTTCCGCTGCTGCTTCTGCTGCTGCTGCTGCTGCTACTGCGCAAGCAACACAGCACAAAGTAGCAACGCGGTTCACGTCTCCCCGTTTCTCCTCTGTCAGCTAATGTGGTTTCTTTATCTTCTTAAGGCTGCATGCAGGCCCAAGGGTGGCCCCCCAGTATACATAATATATAATTTCTGTAATATATATTACATATATCAATACAAATATATATATAAAGGCATTTTGGGGCTCACACGGCCCCCTTTTTGTCAATAGAGGCCTTAGGGAGCCATAAAACCACTCGATCCTCCTGAGGCACCTCGTGAAGGGGACCCCCGGGGGCCCCCGGGGAGCTCATCAGGGGCCCCTGGGAAGTTCCTAGGGGGCCCCTGCGGAGTTTCTAGGGGGCCCCTGGGGGCTTTTGCATTCAGAGCATTGTTTCCACTGCTGGATATGCACCCAAAAAGGAGCGGAGAGGGAGTGTTGCTGTTGCAGGCTGTTTTTCATGTTTCGGTTTTAGAGTTTAGGGTTTTTGGTTTAGAAGGAGCTGAGAGGGAGTGTTGCAGTTGCAGGCTGTTTTTCTTGTTCCGGGTTTAGGGTTTAGGGTTTGTGGTTTTTGCGCTTGCAGATGGAGTATTTTACGAGTACAAACGCGAAGGCGGCTGCCTTTCAGGTGGGTTGAACTGTAAAGACTGAGCCTTAAAGCCTAGACCCCTAGCGCTACACCCCTGGCAGCTTTAGGGTTTAGGGTTTGGGGTTTATTTAGGGTTTAGGGTTTAGGGTTTGCGTTATGTTTTAGGTTGGCACCGTTCGCTATTCGTTGCCTGTGGAGGTGATGGGCAGAGCAGATGTGCAGGCCAGCGGCTTAGCCCTCGTTGTTAGGAGAGAAGGGTTTAAGGATATACCCCCGAGGGTCCCAAAGACAGAAGACGGAGCCCTGCAACTCAACAGACCCCAACTAGGATTTGAACTCATGGTTGAGCACCTACTTGGTAACACAAACCCTAAACCCTAAACCCTCAGTTTTCGGCATTCTTACCGTTAAGTGTTCTGCGTTGAGGGTTCAGTGTTTAGGAATCAATGTTTAGGGTTCAATCTTTAGGTTGAGGGCTTGTAGTGCAGGGCTGGTGCTAAGGGTTTGTACTTTGTGGTTTGCTGTTTAGGGTTTAGGGTTTGTGGTTTTCGGTCCATGATTCAGGGGACGTGATTTGTGAATTCTGGTTTAGGGGTTGTGCTATTTGGCATAGGGTTTAGGGTTTAGGGTTTTTCTTCCGTGTTTTAGGGTTTACGGCCTGTGGTTTAGGGTTTAGGGTTTAGGGTTTAGGGTTTGTGGTTTGTGGTTTGTGTGAGTGCAGGTATGAATCCTCTGAAGGGTTGCCCCTTGAAGGAGTTTGCGGATAAGTACATCGCGTTGAAGACAGAACTTCTTTATTGGCAGCTCCCAACAGCAGATGTTGCGTTCGATGATCATCTATATTACTCCTCAGCATGGACAGGTGATGCTCCAGAGTTTAGGGTTTAGGGTTTAGGGTTTAGGGTTCTACGGTTTTATGATAGAGGGTTTAGCGTTGAGAAATGTCTCTCGGTGCACTTGTCCCTCTTCTCTCGCCTTCTCCTCCTCCTACCCGTTTGTTTGTTTGTCGATATATCTCGCCTTTTGTTTGTTTGTTTGTTTGCCTTTGTCTTTGTCTCTACCATCTGATTAAAATCTCTCTGTGACATATATATATATATATATATATATATATATATATATATATATATATATATATATATATGTTTCTGTCTATCACTTCATTCAGATGGGGATTGTTTCTTCCCTCTCCGTCGCGAGGACTTGTCAGCGTTTAGTCGGTCTGAGGCAGAGGCACAGCGGCCCTTCAATATGTTACAGCTGCAGGAGGCATCGATTCCAGCTGAGATAAAACCTTTTATAGAAGATATAAAGGGAGAATGGCAGTGCTGGGCTACGCCTGAGCAGACCCAGAACGATGCAGAAGGAACAACAACAGCAGCTGCAGCAGGGAATCAAAACCATAGACTCTGCATCGTAGCAGGTCAGATAACGCTTTGTGCTACATATGGTTGCTGCTGCTGCTGTTGCTGCTTCTGCTGCGGCTGCTGTTGTGGTGCTGCTGCTTGGTGGTGGTGGTGCTGTTGCTGTAGTTGCAGGCAGCGCTTAGGATGTTGCGTTATATATATGTGTAGATATATATTCCGCATAGTTTATGCATAGGTTATATGTATAATGTATAGGTCGGGTATATTGTATATATTTTCACATATTATCTGTATTATATTGATTGATAGTATTTTCTGTTCTGCTTTTTGCTGCAGGTGAAGATCGCTTCCTCTGTCTGCCTCCTGGTCTGCAGCGTCCCTGCATACATTTTGCTGCTCTTCCTCCCCGCAGCAGCAACTTCACTCCTTTTGCTGTTGCTGCTGCTCCTCTGGAGTTTACTCTTGTTTGGTCTCCTGGGGCCTTTTTACATCTAAAAGGAGAGGAGAATAAAAAGGGAGAAATTCGCTATCAGCTCGAACTCATCATCAAATCACCGGCGTGGCTGTGCATACACCCCACACTCGGATCCGTACTATCAGGTATGCTGCTGCTGTTGCTTCTGCTGCTGCTTCTGCTGCTGCTGCTGCTGCCTCTGCTAGTGTTACTACCGCCGCTGCTGCTGGTGCTACTTCCGCTGCTGCTGCTTGTGCGGCTTCTGCTGCTGTTGCTGCTGCTGGTGCTGTTGGTGCGACTTCGGCGGTTACTATTGCTGCTGCTGCTGCTTCTGCTGCGTATCGTGTTGTTTGTTCAGGAGTAGAGGGCCCCGTTCCGCACATCTTTTGCTTTGGGATGCCGGAGGCCCAGGTCGTTCGTTTCTTCCCTTGGGGGGCCCTCGCAATAAATGGAGAAGTGGTCTGCGCCGCCCCTGCTAAAGCAGCAGGTAAACTGAGCAGCACAGCAAGCAACAGCAGAAACAACAGCAGCAGCAGCAACGGCAGCGGCAGTTGTGTTGTGTGGGTTTGTAAGAGCGGCGTTTGATACTCCCGGTAGTATTTTGCTTCATAAAGTTCAGGGCGTCCTTCAGCCTGGGGCTAGACTTCTTGTCGTTGCTGCTGTCGTTGCTTCTGCTGTTGCTGTTGCTGCTGCTGCTGCTGCTTAGAGGGAGGGGAGCAGCAGTCAAAGCAGGATGCGTCTGCTGCAGCTCAAGAAGAACCCAAGCCGGCCCTCGCAGCGACTTTCCTTCGTCTTTTCAACAAGTCCTTTGAACCCCCTCTGCGCATTTGCTTCCTTAATGCTGACAAAGAGGCACGCACAAGGGTTTAGGGTTTAGGGTTTAGGGTTTGGCGTTTGGGGGAATCGAACTGCAGGTGACTGCTGCTCAAAGGGAAACATTCACAGCCCATTCACTTGCGAGATGCTCTGGCGTTTAGGGTTTTGGGTTTAGGATTTAGGGTTTAGGGTTTAGGGTTTGTTGTATTCAGGGGAAGGCTGTGACTCTGAAGCGTCTGGAGGACTTCGATGTGCACGATACCCGCAATGAAGAGATGACAGGGTTTAACATCGTGCTGGCCCTCAGGGGTGCTTTGGCGGAGGCACGGGTGCGCTCAAACCCTAAACCCTAAACCCTAGCTAGTTCCTACATATGCACGGCGATCTGCTGCACCTGCGGCATCAGCCCTGCTGCTTCACTATTATATTCCCTTGGTGTGCAGCATCGTCTGTTCCGTTTTGTAAGGGTTTAGGGTTTAGGGTTTAGGGTTTGCGGGTGTGTTCAGGCGGACCAGGCAACAGCCGATAAAGCTAAACCTGGGAAAACAATTGTCTTCCCTATAGACAGCAGCGGAAAGTTTTTAAAAGAAAGTCAAATCCTTATCGATGGAGGGGGCCCCAAAGGAGAAGAACTCTTCTCCATTGCAGTATATGGAGAATACGATTGCGCAGCGCGTAAGTTTAGGGGCTAGGGTTTACGGCTTACGCTGTAGGATTTGGGGTATAGGTTCTAGGCATTTCTTTTGTAGGGTTTAGGGTTCCGTGTGTACGGGCTAGTGCCTAGGGTTTGGGGCTTAGGGTCTAGAATTTGGGGTGTAGGGGTTGGAGTTTACGGTTTATGGTTTGGGGTTTAGGGTCTAGGGTGTAGTAGGGTTATAGGATTTGGGTTTAGGGTTTAGGGTCTAGGGTTTGCGTTGTTTCACTGCAGAGAAGTACTACACCATTGAGACGGGGAAGAAGTTGTTTGATTTCCACCGGCAAATGTTTATGAACCGCAGTCTGCAGCACTCTGGCGCCTGCAACATTATGTGATAGCTTCAGATCTTTGTAGCAATTCAGAAAGCATAACTGCTGCTGCTGCTGCTGCTGCTGCGGCTGCTGCTGCTGCAGTCGCTGCTCAGGAGAGGGTGCGCTTGCAGCAGCAACAGCAAGAACAGCAGCAGAAGCACCTACTTACGTACATACGGAACCGTGTACACGCAGCAGCAGCTGCTGCTGCAGCTGCAGCAACTCCAGCAGCAGCTGCAGCAACAACTGTAGCAACTGCAACAACTCCAGCAGCGGCGCAGTCTCGAGTGCAACTCCACGATGCTATGCTGAGTACTTGCACTGGTGCTTCAGCATCCGGTCCAACAATTTTCACTCTGGGGCTTTGCTGCCTTCTCACGTTCGCCTAACCCCTAAACCCTAAACACTAAACCCGCTCGCAGAACTAACCTATATGTTGCATTTCATTTGTTAAAAGTAGGCCCTAGAACGTAAAGCGAAACCACAACAGACAAGCCTCAATACTATGCAGCAATGAGGGGACCGGCAAATTATCAAGTAGGAAACACACAGACAGAAAAAATTCACCTCTTTGAGGAGGAAGACATATTTTGTTTCGTTAACAAATGCCCAAAGGGGCCTTACTACGCTCAGGGTACTCCTGGGAGCCGCTTATTGCACTACTGCATGTACGGGGGCCCACTGGGGTGCTTACTATACTACTGCTTCTACGGGGGGCCCCAAGGGTACTGTACTACTGCTTGAACGGCTGTCCCCCAGGGTACTGTAATACTGCGTGTACGGGGGCCCCCTCTAGGAACACCACTACGGGGGCCCTGATGCGGGGGCATCATATGAGGCCTATATATCATGGTATATTACATTATGAACGTAATATTTAGTAAAGGTTATACTTTACAGGAAGCTACCCCAGTGGGGGGCCCCCTTAGAAGGGCCTTCCTATGGGGCCCTTCTAAGGGGCCCCCCCTAGGGCCCCTCTGGGGGGCCCCACAGGGGGCCCCCTTCGAGTTCGTACATAACGGACCTGNTTTTTTATAGATATGTTTAGTGTTTTATTCTCTTTCAGCATTTTATATTTGTGCTTATGAGCCCCCTAGACGCTGCTGCAGTGTACCGGGGGGCCCTCGGCGGGTGAGCAGCAGCGTATTCTGTTTGAATTGGTTAATCTTTGGTCCCCAGCAATAGAAAAACATAAAAGAATAAAACTAAAACATGAAGCAATAAAGCGAAAACAAAAATAAAATGAGATAAAATAGAGGATGAGGGGACCTCATCTTGCTGCTGCTGCTGCACATGATGCAGCAGCAGAAGCCGCCGCGGCTGCAGCGGCGGCAGCAGCAGGCAATGCGGCATCAGCTGGAGATGTGCTAGAAGCAGCAGCAGCGGCTGCTGCAGCACCAACAACAGCAGCAGCGACAGAACACTCTAGACCACCAGACTCCAGCAGTGAAGTTTCTGTGCTGGCTGATTGCCTGTGGCACCCCGCTGCTGCTGCTGTTGCTGCTGCTGTGGATGTGGGGCCCTCGCTGTTCCTCTCCTGCTTGGAGGCCCCCGAAACGTCCATACACTTCAGAGACAAAGTGCAGCCAATATTGCGCCCACAGCAGCAGCAGCAGCAACAGCAGCAGCAAGAGGAAGAATTGAGGGGACATCCCATGCAGCATCTGCTGCTCAGGGTTCGGGGGACAGTAACACGCCAGCAGTCTTTGGGCCGTCGGCTTTGCTTCATTGATATAATGTCGCAGCATGTAGTAGCAGCAGCAGCAGCAACAAAAGCATCAGCAGCAACAGCAGCAGCAGCAGGAGCAGCAGCAAAAAGAAGAACGGCAGCTGCAGGATCTGCTCCACGAGAAACAGCAACAGCTTCATCATGTGACGAGACCTCAGCAAAAGCAGATGCAGCAGGAGCAACAGCAACAGCAACAACAACAGCAGCAGCAGCAGCAAACTTTCCTGCGACAGTGGCGGCAACAACAACCGCAACGCCAACGGTCCCACCACCGCCAGCAGCAGCAGCAGTAGCAGCAATGGCAGCAACAGCAGCAGCAACCACAGCAGCAGCACCAATAGCAACAGCAGCACCACCAGCAGGAGCAGCAGAGTCAAGTATTTCTCTCTGTTGCAGCGTTTCCTCTCCTGATGTGGGCGGGCTGGATGTACACCGCAGCATTTTGAGGCGGCTTCGCCTCGGGGATTGCGTGGAGGCCGTGGGAGTGCTGGAAAGGAAGAGACACCAACAGGAGCAACAGCAGCAGCAGCTGCAGCAGGGTCAGCAAAAGGAGCAGCAGCAACAGCAGCAGCAGCAGCAGCAGGATCAGCAAAAGGAGCGGCAACTGCAGCAGCTGCAGCAGTTGGCGTTAAAGCTTGTGAGCGTTGAACCCTCAGGAAACCCTAAACCCTAATTCAACCCAAAAACCTAGAGAATTCCTAAACCCTAATCCGAGCCCCAGGTGTCAGCCTAAATGCTAAACCCTAAACCCTGCGCCTTGTGGCAGAACCAACATATTTATTACCTTCTCGGTGCTAAACCCTAAACCCTAACTAAACCCTAAAACCTAACTAAACCCTAAATCATATTCAGGTCCCATGGCGCGGCCCTCTTTTCCGTTTCCATCACCCCGCAGGACGGCTCTGTTTTGCTGCACTGCTTATGCCTTTGCTGCTGCTGCTGTTGTTGCTGCTGCTGCTTGTGGGTTTGCTGCTGCAGCGAGGAGCCGTGACACCGAGTGCTGTCGAGACAGCGCTCCAAGAGGTGACGCGAGTAATTGGTTTTAAGGTTTTAGCGCTTCGGGCCCACAGGCCTGCAGCAGCAGCAGAAGCAGCAGCAGCAGAAGCAGCAGCAGCCGTTGCAGCAGCAGCAGCCTTAGAGAAGGCCCAGCGCATCCCGGTGCTGCACGGCAGACTCCGTGTTGCATTTCCTTCTCTGCAGCCTGTAGCGCCTATTGTAGCAGAACACGAAAGCGCACCAGCAGCAACATCAGCAGCAACATCAGCAGCAACATCAGCAGCAACCGCAGCAGCAGCCGCGGGGGAGCTTTCCAGGGTATGTAAGATGTATCTGCTTGCTGGCAGCTGTGGGCGCGCTGGCTGTCCCCTTTTGCATGTCAGGGACGGGATGCTGAGGAGACAGTTCGACGTGCTGAAGGCACAGAGACAGGTGCAGCGCGTGCAGCAGCAGTTGCAGCAGCTGCAGCAGCAACCGCGACAGCAGCAGCAGCAGCAGCTGCTCCTGCTCCGCGAGCTGCCCCAGCAGCCTCCCTGTGGTCTTCTTGGGGGCACCTTTTCCGCCCTTACACTGCAAGACGACCCCCACAAGCAGCAGCAGCAGCAGCATCCACAGCAACAGCAGCAGCAGCAGCAGCGGGTGTATCCTAGGAGTCTGCGTGGTTTGGTGTTTGCTGAATGGTTGGTGCGTACGTATGGCGTGGAACGGCTGAGAAGAGGAAGCGGAGTTGTTGAGGTGGGGGGAGGGAGAGGAGAATTGGCGTTTGAATTGGCAGTTAAGTACGAAATACCCACTACAATCATCGACCCCAGGTGTACGTACACCCCAAAACACGAAGCTCCACAGACACCCGATGGGTGCACAGAGGAAGTATCAATACAGCAGCAGCAGCAGCAGAGACATGCGCGAGATGTGGATCACGCAACAGCAGCAGACGTAGCAACAGCAGTAGCAGATGCAACAGCAGGAGATGCAGCAACCGCAGCAGCTGCAGCAACAGCAGCAACAGCCTGCTCGCCTGCTGCTGCCATTCCCTTTCCCCGGCAGGGTATAAGCTCCGCAATGAAGAGCAGCAGCAGAAGCTCGTTCGAGTGTCCCCTCCGGCTGAACAAGAGACAGGCTGCGTGGCTGCTGCAGCAGAAGGGGTTGAGGGGCAGAGAAGCAGAAAACTTTTTTAGGGGATCGGTGGAGACGATCCCAGCTTTATTTAATCTTAATCTAATTCGAGATAACAACTACATCCGGCAGAAACTGATGACAGCATCAGCAATCGTTGGCCTTCACCCAGATGAAGCAGCAGGAGATATAGTTGAACTCGGACTCGCATTGCACGCATGCAGGCGCAGCAGCAACAGCAGCAACAACAGCAGCAGCAGCAGCAATAACGGAAACAGCAATGGAAGCACCGGCAACAATAACAGTGACATCTGCAATGTTGGGGATAACAACAAGCCACACACGCAGCAGGGACAGAAACGGCAGCAGCAGCAGCAAGCCGCAGCAGCAGAGCTGCCAGAGTTGGCCCTTGCTGTTGTCCCCTGCTGCGTCTTCTCGGAGATGTTCCCTGATAGGCGAGTGCCTAGTGCTGCAGCAGAAGCAGCAGCAGTCTCTCCATCTGCTGCAGCAGCAGCAGCGGCTGCTGTTGCTGCGTCTGATGTCCCCAGTGCACCAAACCCTTCAGCTGCTGCGGCCGCTATTGCTGCAGTTGCTGCAGCTGCTTCCTCTGCCAATACGCCTGCTGCTGCTCCTTTAGAGGGCTCAGCTGCAAGCTGTGGTGTTTTGCTGCGCCAGCAGAAGGCCCCTGATGCTGCTGCAGCCTGCCCCCCAGGGGGCCCCGCAGGGGGCCCCCCCGTGGGTGCAAACGGGTCTCCTTCGGCTCTTCAGAGCCGGGATCTCTCCGCTGAGGGCCCCCCTCTATGCCCTCTTGCGGACTCCCCTGGGGTATCCCCTGGAGGCCCTCCTGGGGCCCCCTCTGGAGGCTATCCTGGCGGGCCCCCTGGGGGCCCTCCTGGGAACTCCCTTGGATGCCCCCCTGGGGACTCCCTTGGAGGGCCCCCCGGGGCCCCTCTCTTCACTGCAGGTGCAGGGGGGGATGGACATACGGTCGTACGTACGTACGAAGAGCTTTTGCTTTGGCTGCACCTTCGGGACCCGCAGCGGCGGCTGCAGCAGCAAACGCTGCCTATGGTGGGGAAGAACCAGGTTCTCTTTATGCCACCATAAGCATATACAAAAAATTCGCGTATATATACATATATATATATATATATATATATATATATATATATATATATATATATATATATATATATGTGTGTATATATATTATTCATCAAATACATAGAATATATAACACGCATAGAGATACATAAATTCATGTAACATACTAAATATAATTTATATACAGTGCGTGGATCTATCTATATATCTATATATATGTGTAATTCACGATCTGCATGTAATCTACGTCGCATGTGGGGCCGAAACTGTTAAAAAAAACAACAGTAGGGGGGGCCCAGGGGCCTGGGGACATGAGCAGTTTTCAGGGGTCATATCACACGATGCTGCGTCTAAACCCTACTCCGTACGCCAACCGGTACATGTTCTAGGCCGTCCCCAGGGTCTCCTCAGTAAAGCTAGGGTGAAAGACAGAGGTTTAGAGTCAGGGGTCACGGGTTAATATCCCGGCTTCAGCCTAGCGTTTAATGTTCTACGGTTTAGGGTTTAGGCTTCAGAGTGTTTGTACATGTATCTTGAGTCCGCGATTTGCACTAGGGCTTAGGTTATAGGGTCTTTGTATATATTAGGGTTTCCGCTGCAGTGAGCAAAGCAGCAGAGTGTATCAGAAACGAAAAGGAGACGAGTGTTGCAATGGAGAGCTCTTGGGCTTACGGTTTAGGTTTACAAGCGAGCTGAATGCGCCGGTAGGCCTGAAACCCTAAACCCTCGACGCTTTACCCCTGAACGCTTTCCTTGCCAGTTCCCTCAGACCCTAGGCCGTCAACACCTGGCCCCCTAAGGCCCTAAAACCCTAAACCCTCATTTTCCGGACCCCTTATATTCTTTCTAGCAAGACACCAGCTGGTGTTTTGCTCCCCTACCTCCGGGCAAACACTCAGGGAGAATCTGCCGGTACAACAAACCCTAAACCCTAGACCCACTAGTGGGAAGCTTTTAGCGTTTAGGGTTTAGGGTATAGCATTTGGAGTCCAGCAGGTGACCTCCCACATTTGTTGGGCCTGGAGAACTGTCTGGCGCTAATTATATCGCTTTCTGGCCCCTCTCCACTGTCTATGTCTAGGGTTTAGCGTTTATGAGTTATGGTTTATACTTTAGGGTCTAAGGTTCGCTCGAGTCGGCAGCCCCACTTGGGGCCCTCTGCCACAGCTGCACACGTAAGAGAGGGGGCCCCCTGACGCGTATAGATTTATTGGAGGGGCGGCTTCTGTGTATATTTGTTCTTCTGTCTACTTTTATTCTGTTGGTTTTCATCTAGTCCTAACCCTAAACTGTAGACCATAGACCCTAAACCCTTGGTTCTTTTGCGCAGCGAGTACTGGGCAGCCGACAACCCCGAGGCCGCCGGACCCCCAGGATGTAGGTGAGAGGATTCCTTTAGCATTGCTGCTGGGAGTGTAGGGATAAGCATCGCGTTACAAACATACACACAGAAGCAGCAACAGGAGCAGCAGCAGCAACAGCAACAGCAGCAGCAGCTGCCTCTGCAGCAGCCGCTGCAACAGCTGCAGCAGGAACGTGGCCGCGTTGACTGGCGTGGCGGCAGCAGCAGTCGCATCCGTACGACTACAGCAGCATCAGGAGCTGAAGAAGCATCATCATCATCAGCAGCAGCAGCAGCAACAGCAGCAGCAAACAACGACAGCAAGGGCAGAAGCAGCAGCAACCGCAGCGGCATCAGCAACTGCAGCAGCAGCAGAGTTTTCCATGGAATGGAGGACGGATACGACTTTGAGTATGAGTCAGACGGGGGCCCCTGGGGCCCTGAAGAAGAGGCATCTGTCCTCATAGAGAACCTTTACTATGAGGCCCAAGACTGTCTGCAGTCGAAACCCGAGAAGGCAAGACCTAAACCCTAAACCCTAAACATGCACGGAGCTCTAAACCCTGAACATGCGCTGAGCCATAAACCCTAAACCCCCTTTGAACCCTAAACCCTAGTGAGTCGTACATTCAGCTGGGACTCCTTAGACTTCAAACCCTCGAGTTGTTGCCCTTCGTGAACATAGCGGGTTGAGGGTTTAGGGTTTGCGTTGCAGGCCGTGGCGCTGCTTGAGGAGGTGCTGCAGCGGGAGGAGGAAGCTGCTCAGAAGGCTTGGTCTTTTAAGTCTCTCCTCTCCCTTACGCTGCTCTTTCTAAGCGAAGGTACGGACACGCTGCTGCTGCTGCTGCTGCTGCTTCTGCTGCTGCTTTATCCCCAGCTGTTCCAGTTGATGATCCACCGCAAAGGCACCTGACAGCAGAGGACTAAGCTTTCAGTCCGCCCATTGCTGCTGTTGGTGCTGCTGCAGGGAACTTCTTGCGTGCTGCTGCAGACTACCGGCGGCTGCTGCAGCTGCTGCCTGCTGTTGCTGCTGGAGATGCAGCAGCAGCAGTGCAGGCGGTCCTCTCCGCTGCCACCAAACGCGCTGGCATCCGGCAGTACGACGGGCTACCCGACGTTTTTGCTGCTGCACCGCAGCAGCAGCAGCAGCAGGAGCATGGAGATGCGTCTCTTGCTGCGAGGCAGCAAACGCCTGAAGCCCCACAGTCTCTCAGCAAAGGAGCGAGCAGCAGCAAGACCCTTTCTCTGCAGCAAGGCGAACAGCAGCTGGAGGAGCTGATGTTGTCGACGGTTGCTGCCTTGGAATCTCAGGGGCTGAAGGCAAGTCATACCCTAAACCCTAAACCCTAGGCTCACACAGAAGCATCTTTAGTGGCGTAGCGCTTTCCTGGTGGCCTGCTGTTTAGGATTCAGGGCTTGCAGGGTTTACGGATTAGGGTTTAGGGTTTAGAGATTGGGCGGTGCTGCTGTTTGTTCTGAGCAGAGGCTGCGGGCCCACGTCTGCAGTCAATTGCTGCTGCTATATGTACAGCTGGGCGAATGGACGAAGGTGCGGCAGCAAAAAAAAGCCTGCGACTTGGGGTTTAGGGTTTAGGCTTCAGGGTTTAGACGCTCCACATTTTCCTCCCCGCAGGCCGGCCTGGAGTTTCCCGCGGGCCTAAGCCTTATCGGCAAGGGTTTCTGCAGTCTGGCGCTGCTGCTGCTGCTGCTTCTGCTTCTGTTGCTGCTTTCGCTGCTGCTTTTGCTGCTGCTGCTGGGGCCTCCTTGTCCCCTGATGTGCCGGATTGCTTGTAGCGGATTTGTAGTTTAGGGTCTAGGATTTAGGGTTCAGGATGTATGGTGGGGGATTCGGGGGTGCGTGCAGGCGCACGGACTGTTGCCGCGGGTGCACGGGGCAGTCAGAGACGCGTCACTGCCGCTGCATCAGCAGCTCGAGGCAGCAGCAGCAGAAGTACTCTGCTGTACATACACAGGACACTGGAAACAGCTGCAGCATCTGCTGCCGCACGCGCTGCAGCTTGCTGCTGCCTCCTTAGACCCCAGAAGCGCAGCAGCAGTCCGCGAGTGTGGGGCACGGCTGCTGCTCGAGCTGTACATACACCCCGATCTCCAGCTAAAGCAGCAGCAACAGCAGCAGCAACAGGAACAGCAGGAGCAACAGCAGCAACAGCAGCAGCAGCAACCCTGGGCTGACATTCATGCGCATCTCATGGCGGCATTTCGTCACCACCAAGAAGTCGGCGACACGCGGTGACCTCCAAACCCTAAACCCTAAACACCAAAGCCGAGCGCAGTGTTGAGCTGGGCGTTCACTAAGCCTTTACGTCCCCGGGGCCGTTACAGTGCTGTCTCTTCTCCCTCGCAGAGCTTTGCAGCTGCCAGCGGTTTGGGCTTAGGGTTTGGGGCTTAGGGCTTTGCGGGCGTGCAGGGCGGCAGCTGCTGCGCTGCGCCGTGCGGTCCTTGCTGCTCCCTTGGCGGCTTCTTCCGTTGACCCGTTCAGCACGAGAGAAGGGAAGGCCCTGCAGGTCTGCTGCTGCTGCTGCTGCTGTCGCTGTTGCTGCTGGTATTGTTGCTGGTAGCTTCTCGGCGTCAGTACCTCCTGTGCGCCCTTTTCTGCTGCCGCTTGTACCCGGTGTGCTGAACCCACGCTGCTGCTGCTGCTGCCCTGCTGCTACTGTTTTTGCTGCTGCAGAGCAATCCAGAAGTGCAATGTGCGGAGGCTTTGCGGGCAGCGTTTGAGGCTAACGATGTTGCAGGTGTTGAGAAGGTGCGCCTCCGGCCGCAAACACTAAACCCTAAACCCTTGGTCCTACGCTCTGCATTACTGGCAGCTGCACCCGCACCCTCTTCGTGTAGAAGCAGACCTCAGTGCCAGTTGAAGTTTAGGGTTAGAGGTTTAGGGTTTAGGGTTTGGGGTTTAGAGTCTATCGGTGTATGTGCAGCATCTGCAGCTGCTCGGCGCTACGGACCCCTTTGCTTTGCACTGCAGCAAGGCCCTGCTGCAGGCTGTCAGGTGGGTCTCTACGGCCGAATGGAGATTCAGGGTTTAGCGTTTAGGGTTTATGGTGCACGGTGTGACTTCCAGGGGTAGTGGGTACGGTGTAGGGTAGGGGTAGGGAGAGGATGGGGTTTAGGGATAGGCTTTAGGGGGAGCGTTAGCGTTCGGGGTTTGGATTAGGGTTCAGGCTTATGGTTTAGGTGGTTCTACACCTGCAGGTTGAGGCGGCTGCAAGCCATCGCTGGCTGCTACTCTGCCTTCCCGCTGCAGCGGCTGCAGCAAGCATTGCGGCTTTCAGAAGAAGACACCCGGCAGCTGCTGCTGCAGGTACACCCTGGTACTGCTTCTGCTGCTGCTGCTGCTTCTATTGCAGGTGCTCCGCATATGCTGCTGCTGCTTCTGTTGCTGCGTCCTCCTCCCTCACTGTTGCCGTGTCTGCCATCCCTTTGCTGCCGATTCCACTTTGAAAGGCAGCAGCAGCAGCTGCGGCAGCTGCAGCGAACAGCAGCAGCAGCACAGCAGCCTGTTTTTCCATTTCTGTCCGTAGCTGCTTCTACTAGTTATGTTTAGGGGGCACTGTATGTCTGACTTTTGCGTTCCTCTTTGGGGTGTATGTACACTGCACAGGTCATTCAGCAAGACCAGCTTCCCGCCCTCATTGATGATGAAGCGAAAATGTTGCGCGTGCGCTGCCCCTGATGATGCTGCTAATGTTGCTGCTGCTGCTGTTTGTACTGCTTGCTGCTGCTGCGGCTGTTGGTCTTGGTTGCTGCTAGTGCTGCTGCTGGTGTCGCTGCTGTTGGTTTTGGTGTTGCTGCTCTTGGTGTTACTGCCGTTGTTTGTGCTGCTATATATATATTTGGGCTCCTGGTGTTGCTGCTGCTCGTGTTGCTGTTGTTGGTGTGCCGGCTGTATGCGTAGTATGCTGTGTGGAGTTGTCTAATGATTCGGTGTTGTTTGCGTATTTATTTGGGGTGTACGCACAGCTGCGACTGCCAGAAGAAGAAGAAGCTGCAAATGTTGCTGGGCTGCTGCATCGCTGGTGCTGCAGCGTTCGTCAGTTGTCTGCGCATATAGAGCAAACTCTCCCCCACACAATGGAAGAACAGCCCCACAAATAACATTATCTTATCCGAAGAACAAAGTGCTGCTGCAGCTGATGCAGCAGCTGGGGTAGCACTTTGTTCGCGGCTGTTGCATTGCTGCAGTCCCCCTGCAGCATTACCTGCTACAGAGTTTCTTTAACACCAAATGCAGCAGCGGTGCTGCAACGCCAGCAGCTGCTGGGCTGCTGCAGCGCCAGCTTCTGGAGAAACAGCTGTTGCAGGGCCGCCGCTGCAGCTGAGCAGTGGTTATAGGAATTCTTTTGAGAGTCGCTGTGTGGCGGTATCTCTGTCTCTGCTTTTAAATGCGGTCATAAGGAGTTGTTTAGATTTGTTGGGTGGTGGAACCGCTGCTGCTGCTGCAGCAGCTTCTGCTGCAGCTACTGAGTAGCTGCCGTTAAATGACTGCTGCTGCAAGAACTGCTGCTGTAACTGCTTGATGGCTGCTGCTGCGGCTGCTGCAACTGTAGTCACTTCAGAACTAGCTGCAGCAAATACAGCCTCTGTGGTTCCAGTTGCTCGTCTGCCGCTATTTGCTCTATTCTGCTAAGTAAAACAAAGAACGCCTCCAGGGGCTGACAGCCCTCAGTACTTAATGATAGACCTAGCTGGTACAAAGGCTACAGGCAGCACCACCGGCGGTAGTAGCAGCAGCTGCTGCTGCTGCTGGTATCACTGGTGCTGCTGCTGCTGCTGCTAATTCTTGTGTGAGCAGCAGCTGCGCGAAGTAGTCAGCTGTTGTTGCTGTTCGTGTTCTTTCTACCGGTCCTGCTGCCAATTCTTGCGTGCGCAGCACCAAAAAATAGTTGCCTGCTGCTGCACGCGTCCTTGCTCCAGCTGCTGCTCGTGTTACTGCTGGCCTACTGCTAATTCTTGCGTGACCAGCAGCAAGAAATAGTGAAGTAACCATGCAGGCGGAACTCCTGAGGTGTCTGTGCACCCCAGAGTGGTTACTCTTATCCGAGACAAACAAACAGTCAAAGTGAAAAGTTTTGGGCTGCGCGGGAAAGCTGGGGTGTACAGATACCTCAGGATCCTCGCCTCCTCTTGTTGCTGCTGCAGCAAGTGCTGCCGCAAATAGTGCAGCAACAGCGAAGACTGCCGCTGCAGCAACAGCTGCAGCCGAAGCCGCAGCAGCATAACAGCTTAGCGGACCGGGGGAGAAGCAGCAGCAGCCACAGTAACTGCAAGCTTACGAAGTGGAGCAGCAACAGAAAACAGGCTTGAGAAGCAATTCAGAGGAGAAGCCGCAGTCAAGGCAACCGACCTGCTGCTGCTGCTGCTGGTTCTACACAAGTACGCGAGGGGCTCCTTGCCGCCGCTGTTGCTGCTGCTGCAGTTGCTGCTGTTGTTGCTCCAGCTGCTGCAGCCTTGAGAGAGCTGCTGCTAGACGTCCTTGCAGAGCTTCTTGTTGGTCATTAGCCTTCTTGAGCTCTTGTGCTGCAGTGGCAAGCTGCCGGATGAGCTGCTCCTGCTGCTTTTGCTGCTTTTGCTGCTGTTGCTTTTGCTGCTGCTGCTGCTGCTTGTAACGGAGCTGCTGCTGTCGCAGTCGCCTTCGGTAGTCCTCTAGTCTCATGCAGGTGTCTCTGCTGCTGGCTTCATCACGAAGAGAAATGCTCTGAAGGTCTGCCTCTATGACGTCTAAACACCGGGTGCACTGCACCTGCTGCTGCTGCTGCAGCTGCTGTTGCTGCACAGGCTGGTCCACCTGCGCCGACGGCAGTTGTTGTTGCTGCTGCTGGTGCGCAGGATGCTGCTGCGGCGTAGCCTGATGTGGTTTCCCGGGTGTCTTGGCCTGGTGCTGCTGCTCCTGCTGCTGCTGCAGAGCGTGCTGCTGCGCTGCATGCAGCAGCAGCTGCCGCCAAGGGCGGCGGCAGGCAGAGCGCTGCACCGCCCGACAGAAGTGTTTGAGGACAATGCCTGCGTACAGCTGCCGGTGCTGCATTAATTGCTGCACTCGCGGGGGCCGTGTCTCTTGCTGCTTCCTGTACTTCTGCTGCTGCACTTGCTGCTTGTGCTGCTTGTAAAGAAGCTGAAGCTCCTTACTGATGCGGTGCTCTCTATGGGGAGGCATATTCGGTTGTTCTGCTGCTTTCAGTCCAGAGGGAGTGGCAGCAGCAGCAGGTGGTGCTCTAACAGCAACAGTCGCTGCTGCTGCTGCTGCAGGAACTGCTGCGTCCGATGAAGCTGCAGTGGTTGACTCTGTTGCGGCAACAGCACCAGCAGAAGCAGCTGATTCTGCTTCGGCCGCAGGTGAAAGGGTCCCATCTGCATCTTTTGACTGCATTAATGCGCTATGCTCCATGTGCTGCTGCTGCGGCTGATGCTGCTGCGGCTGATGCTGCTGCTGGAGCTGCAGCTGCTGCAGTTGCTGCTGATTGCGGCCGCGAATACCTTCTGAAGAGTGCGCCAGAACAGGAAGCACCTGAGCAGCAACTATATGCTGTAGAGGCTGTTGTTTCTGGATCTGCTTCTGCTGCTGCTGCATCTGCTGCTCCTGCTGCTTGTCGAAGTGCTTTTCCTTTGGACGATGCATCTCCTGCGCGTGGAGCCGCTGCTGAGTGTTGAGACTGCCCCTACGGCTGGAGCCAGCAGCGTGTCCGCAGGCTGTTGTTGCTGCTGCTACTGTTTTCATGCTTGCTGCGGTCCTACCGCTGCTGCAGGTGCTGCTGCTGCAGCAACTGGTGCTGCGGCTCCGTTGTGCTGAAGCCGTCAGAGCACGGGGGCATGTTGTTTGACAGCCCCTTGCAGCAGCCGGCTTCGGCTGAGCCCCCCAGCTGCTGCAACGCGCCGAAGCAGGAGAAGAAGAACTAGCAGAAGAAGCGGCAGAAGAAGCAGAAGCAATACAGGAAGCAGCAGCAGCTGCGCTTCCCTTGGGGCCCCACCCGCTAAAACGGAGTCGTGTTGCAATGCCCGCGCAGTGCTGTGCTGCAGGCCTGCCTGGAGTTGCTTCATCTGCTGTATCTGCTGCTGCATCTGCTGCTGCTGGTGCTGGTGGTGCTGCTGGAAGGCGCCTGCCGTAGCCGCGTCCTGCTGGGGCAGGCGCAGCAACAGGGGAAGCGCTGTCTCCCGCTGCCGCCGCCGCAAGAGCAGCAGCAGCGGCAGATGCAGCAGTAGCAGCAACAGGGACCCCAGTCCGGTCAGCAAGGGCCTCAAACCCTGCATCAGGCAGTCGCCCGCGCAGGCGATTGGCTTTTGGGCTGCAGCATCTGGGGCCGCTCCAGCCGTCACTCAGTGCAGCACAGGCACGTCGCTGCTGCGGCTGCTGCTGCTGCTGTCGTGGGTTCTGTTGTTGCGGTTGGTTCACACCCACCCACGAATGCCGCGATCCAACTGTGTTGCTGCAGGTGCTGGCAACACTATCATTACAGTAGTTGCTGCTGCCGCCGCTACTGCTGCTGATGTTCGGGTTGCTGTACCGGCGGCGTGTACCTCGCGGTGTCAGTGGCTCCGCGAGAGCAACAGCAACGGCGCCAGCAGCATTGGTTTCTGGACAGCAGTTAAGCCCGTTGCCTTCTTGCAATCCAAGCAGAGCCCCTCTGCGGTGAAGAGAACAAAACGAAAGGGAAGCAGAGCTGCTGCTCGCATGCGACGGGTGCACTCCCAATGGGGCCCCTTCATGGAGCCCGCCTGGGAGCTCCAAGGTGCCTTTAGGGGGCCCTCCGAGGGACTCCCCCGGGGGCTCCTTTAAGATCTTCTTAAGCAGACGGGCCCCGTTGGGTGTTTGCTGTCGGGATGTCGGTGCATCTGAGCAACTATGCAGGCTGCATGTATACAGCGCTGCGCTCGCCGCCCTGGATACAGTGTAGCCTGCCGCTGCTGCTGCTGCTGCTGTGGCTGCTGCAGCCGTTGCTGCTGCTGCTGCTGCTGCATCTGCTCCTGCTGTCCCTGCTGCTTGCGTCGCAACGCGGGAGAGGGGGTGGGGCCTCGAGTGGATGCAGTGGGACTCCATGGGAAGCGCGCATGCCGCCAGGATTCCTGAACTGCCCCTGATGCATCTGCTGCTGATGCCTCTGTTGTCGCCGCTGTTGCATTTGCTGCTGCTGCTGCTGCTGCTGTTGCATCTGCTGCTGCTGCTGCTGTTCCGCCTGCTGCCTTCGGCGCGGCCGCAGCCCTTCTTGCGCTGAATGACAAGCAGGTGGGGTCGTTGCATTGGAAGCACTTCGAACTCCCGATGCCCATCCATGTCGCTCTGAGCAGCAGCGCAGTTGTTGTTGCAGGTGTTCCTGCGGCACGCGGGCTGTCGCAGCCTGAACACCCCAAGGTCTCCTGCGGAGGCGGCGCGCTAGATGCGAGCAAATGGTGTAGACAGGCCGCAGATAAAGGCTAGCTGGAGCCTTCGGCTAGCCAGCTAGCCTGAGAGAGTCTCTGAGGCGCTGCTTGCGTGTCATGGGCATCCGCAGGAGAAGGATGCGGAGCTATTCAGCGAAGTTTGAATGTTCAAGACAAAACAGAACAACTAAATACTCAAGTTAGGAGTCTAAGGTTTAGGGTTTAGGGAGCAGCAGACAGCAGACACCGGTCAGATGCAATGGGGCTGCTTCTGTCGGCTGCGCCGGAGCCGATGCGCTTGCGGGAGGTGAAGAAGTCCCCCGTTGGAACGGAAAAAACATAAAACAAATAATTACAGAAAAAGCAAAGGGCGTTTTAGGCAAGAAGATCACGGAGCAGCCGCTCGCCGCCTCAGAAGGAGGTGAGCTTGGGCGGGCCCTAGTGGGCCCCCGCTACAGGACGCTGGGGCCCCCAAAATCAGTAAACGATGGCGCACAGAGTAGGCAGTTGAGCCGCAAATACACCTACAAAGAAAGCGAGTTGTTTTTTAGGGATTTTGGCTTACCGTTTCCGGAAACGCCTTATTGTCCCGTGGGTAAGTGGTATCTCAACAGAAACCACCAAAACCTGACGTCTCCGTTACGAGAGTCGTCAGTCTTATCCGAGGACAGTTGTGAGCTCCCCTAAAGCGAAAAAAAACTTAGGATAATACTTCGCAAGAAGCTGTTGGTGCAGCATTCTCTGCGTCTCGTCGGACTGTGTATTCCTACCTGCGTATAGGCTGGCCGCTGAGGACCAGGTAAGTTTTCAACAATTGTAGCGTGCTCTGCCTACAGATAACACAGCAGCATGCACTCGACCTTGGCATGCTGCCTCCAAGTGAATACAAACGTCCCGTAAGTGTATATAGAGGTCGAGCAGGCAGTAAAGGAAGCTTCGTTGAAACTTCCTGCAACGAGAGTCCTCATTTTTGTTCGAGGGCAGCAGTAAGTTGCAACGGAGTTGAAATACTTGAGATAATATATTCGAAAAAGCAACTGGCTTCCTTTCCAGTCACCAGGCTGCCTAGAGGTGGTGACCCAAGGTCACCGAGCCGTGGGAGAGCCGGCTGTTTGGCGCGAGTTGCAGTGCACCCTGCATGCGCAACTCATGCTGCAAGGTAACTTCACATGCATGTACAACCAAGCCATAGTGCTGCTCGGATTAACAATATAGACGATGGTTCACCACATACTTGGCCCTCAGTGCCAGCGTGCACGCAAGTAAGAGTACACCGACCAACTGCACACAAACATGCTTCATCTCCCGGCCCCAAGACCTTCATTCGCTGGGCCCAGGTCTCCAGCGGATTGGAGTGGGGGTATTCCGCCCTTTTGAAACCATCAGCTTGAGTATTTTGACACGATGGCAGCTTGCGACGGTCTGCAAACCAGATCGGGGACCATTGTTACATATTTTGGCCGAACAGAAGCGCGCTGTCCGAGTACATAAGCATCCAACAAGTGCTGTTTATACCAACGCCTAGTCCCTATTGATTAGACCAAAGAAATCGTAGTTATCCTGCCGCTTCAGTTCTGTAGGTTCGTTTACATGCCAAGATAGCGTGCAAATGTATTCTGATTTTCGTGTGCTGACTTGGTCTCTTGCCTTGTGCCTCTCGACAGAGTGTATTGTGGGCAAACACACGCCGGCAATGTCAAGTGATGAAAAAACTGCTGAACCCTGCAGGCGGTCAAGCACTTAGTCGGGGTGTCGAGCAAGGTTGTCTCAGCGCCATTTAAGCTCCTTGCAGCCTAGGCGCATGCGCCATTTCGAAATGGCGCATGTGCCATTTCCCTTTTCGTTTCCTCCATCACTGGATCGTGAGCAGGCTCTCTAGTTACTGGCTAATCTTTGGCTTCTTAAAGAAGTTTGCATGTCTACATACCGATTTCCGGTTGCCGTTTTCGTGGTCCTCTGGACAAATTGTGGTGCTGCGAGTGAGCTCGGTGAGCTGCGCTGGCCGTCCAGTGGGCAGCCATCCCTCCGGAACCTCCTTCTTATTGAGCATACACCAGGAGGATTCGTTCCAGTGCGCCCACTTCAGCTGTTGGGCGCTAACTATGTAGAATTCCCCAGAAGAGTGGTCTCCGCAAGGCCAGTGGGATAGGGTGTATGCATACTTTCGGTGGGTCACTGCTTCATTGGTTTGGCGTCATGCTCGAGAGTGTAGCTCACAATATATGGATGGGATGTCGAAATAACTGCGTTGCCGGTACTTTTGTTCGGTGGAGTGTAAAGTGTCGGTTTGGCGGATGGCTTGATCCCTATACGTCACCCATGAAACCCAAACAGTATGCAGTAGGCATTTACCCTCTTTCTAGTGCGCATTACATGAAAACATACTATGACTGCTGCGCATGTTTATCTTTCTAAGTTAACTTTGTCTGCGCGTCTGACTGCATATCCTTCTTCTGTCTCCGTCTGCTTGCCTGTTGAGCTGCTTCTTCTCCTTGTCCCCACCCCAAAGCCCATCTCAGCCTGTCTGCCTGTCCCTACGTGCCTCCGTCTCTCTATGTGCTTGCCGGCATGATTGTGGAATTAAAGCCAGTAAATTGAAAAAATCACCTAGGTGTATCTACACTCGAGCGCCCTCAACTAGCGTGCTCAGAGCTACTCTGCACCCGGCGCACCCGGCACAGTCTCTTATGGTACCAACTTACGATGCATTTCCTACGCGTTGAAGTGCAGGAAATCCCACTAGAAGTTAAAAGGGCCACTAAAAGTTAATAGCCGCTCTTGCTGCTCGGGGGGCTGCACGGCCAGCTGCTCTGCAGGGGAGTTGGTGCATTCCCAGATTGTTTGATTGCGGTCGTACTTGGGGGGAACGCACATCCTTGAGCGTACGATTCGAGAGTTTTGGGGGGCTGACGGTTTGGTTCGTGAAAATAGTGCATTTGCTCGTCGTTAGTTGGCACTAAGCTGTAGCCGTTTCGGTGTTTCAGTATTCAACACATGCTTCGGGATGCAGCGCTTACAGAAATCTTCTCATGTGCGTTCTAGTCAAGCCTGGGTCACCTTTTGCCGATATTTAGCAGCGAGGCCAAGCATACCAAAGCTATTGGCAGACGATACACTTTGGATTGCAAGCCTTAGAAACATATATCCTTAACGTTTAAATCTAAACCGCCGGCGATCGTCACGCACGTGCCTCCCAGCACTCAGGGGTTTCCTGGGGCTGGTGCAGGGCAAGGGATGAGAGCGGGAGATGTACAAACGAGTATACACTAAAACATACAAAGACGCCACAGCGCCACGTGCAGGCATAGACAGCAGGTGAGGGCGGCAGTATCAGGAGAAGCACCACACGATTTGGAGGCAGGAGAAGTACACCAAAAAAAGTAACTATTGTCGGTTACGGGACACTGCTAACGTCAATATTGAGTGTCGCTTTCTGACGGGTTCACGATAGAGCCAATAATAGCAATCAGGACGCAGCCTTCAGCCTTCCCTTAGTCTTTTCCCTTACCAACGCCATGAATCGCAAACTCCGCGTGGAGCGATTCTCATATCACGAAAAATTGTTACTAAGAAGAAACGCTAAAACCTACACAAAACAAACCGTGGAACATCGATCCCTCAGACAACATAAAGCCCACTACCGAACAGGTGTGGAGCAGGGCAGTTAGATGTCCCCCATTGCGCTGCATATGCAACTGTGAACCTCCTGCCGTCGAATATAGCTACTTACACCTTTGCTCGTGAGCCAATAAGCACGGAAGCAATAACGTTGAATCCCTTGAAAAATTACCGCAGGAAACCAAGTCCGAAACTGTAGGCATCTACCCCTGAACTTCACGCTTTTACACCCGAAATTTGACCTTCCACGACCGAACTGCAGACAGTGAATAAATAAAGCTGGACTCTAGAGCAAAGGTGCCAGCTGTTTCAAGAGAATATCCGCCGCCTCTACAAGAACCAGAGATTCCGAGCATTGCTGAGGATTGTGACATGTTCGCAACTTCATTCGTTTTCACCTAGGCAGCGTCATGCCTGACTTCATGCACATACATTGTAGATTGCAGGGGGTGGGTGTAGAGCGGACCCCTCCATTTACATCTGGACAAAGCAGCTTTCCGTCCGCTGCACAGAGTATTCGATTCGGGAAACATCGCTGTTTCGTTATTTTCCAAGAGCTACTTTTGTCCGCTCACACATCCATAAACATGAAGCTAATTGAAAATGTAAGGTCTCCAGCGACACGTACTCACTACACGGGAACTTGAGCAACGCCCTCGCCAGCATACCATACCATGCTTCTCAGCAGAGCTGTACAGTTGGTGGAGCCAGCCTACTTGCGCCCATTCTGCCTGGTGGCAGCGCCCACCCAATCTCGCAGATACAAGTCTAATCTCCTCGTTGCGTAACCGTTAATCTGTGTCCCACACTGTTCTAGGTTTGGTTACCTAGTGGCCCCAAAGCTCGGTATACCCAAATCACAGCAAGCAACTTTACGGCGCACACTGTAGCATACGGGGAGTCAAAGGTACTCGTGTTCGCCTTCTTATTCCCATTTCATGTGACGCGTAAAATACTCGCAAGACCTCGAAACTATTCGCCAGCGTAGCGGGAGAATGCTGCGACTCCTGCACACGCCATAGAAAGCTACAATCGTGTAAAGCTTGTGTTTGACGCAAAGAATGGGCTGTACCCCCGCCCTGTGCCAAGAGACTGAATTGGACAACGAAGCGAACTGCACCAATTCTATCTCTGCACGTGATCGTCGCGCAGACTGAATTACAGCACGCATCACAAGGGCATGCAGCACACAGGCTTGCAGCCCGGGATCCAACAAAGGAGCGGCACGGCCTATAGACAATAATTGTCAAGAGTCTGTTTCATCTCACGGCTAGCTCCCCAAACGTGATCACCTGC